TTTATAAGTATTTTTGAAATAAGTTGCGAAAAAAATTTACTCTGATAAGTCGGGGTGTTACAACCAGACTTTGAGCAATCTTTGATAACAAGTCTGCTCGACCATTCTCCTCTCGAGGGATCTGTATCAGCTCGAATGTATCAAACTCATCTTTCAACCTTTTCATCTCGTCTACATATTTTTTCATCCTGTCCTCCTTAACTTTGAATCCTTCCTGAAACTGCCCAACCACCAATTGAGAATCAGAATGCACTTGTACCTTTCGGGCTCCCCCCGCCATAGCTAACTGCAGACCTTTGATCACCGCCTCATATTCAGCTTCATTATTGGACACCTTGAATCCAACTTTGGCTACAAATTCCAAATAATCGCCCTTAAGAGAAACAAGAACAATCCCCAATCCTGCTCCACTTCTCGCCACAAATCCATCCACAAACAAATGCCATACTCCTCCAGACTTTTCCTCGATTTTCGTACCCTCCTGAATAAAATTCTCCAACACCTGCGCCTTGATAGCCCTCCTCGGCTCATACATTAGCGAATACTCACTCAGCTCGACCGCCTATTTCACCAATCGACCAGACATTGAAGGCCGCCCGAGCGTCTCTCCCAACGGCATATTCGTTCTCACCCTCACTTTATGATTTAAGAAATAAGGCCTCATTTTTCGAGCAGCTACCACTACCGCCAGAGCACACCTCTTAATCTCTGAGTACCTCATCTTCGCTCCTTGCATCACCCTACTCACATAATAGATAGAAAATTGTGCTACCGCTTCTTCTCGCAACAACACTGAACTCACTGCCCTCTCTCTAATAGAAATATAGAGGACCAAATCCTCTCCTTGCACCGGCTTAGCCAACAGGGGAAGGTTAGCTAGCACTCCCTGAAACCCCTCGGACGCGCGTTGAGCCTTATCTGTCCACTGAAACTTCGCGCTCTTCTTCAGTGTTTTAAATAATGGGCCACTCTTCTCCGCCACTTTGGATATAAAACGACTCAGCCCCGCAATTCGACCAGCCAAGATTGGCATCTACTTAACACCCGCTGGAGATTTCATCTTCATTAGCGCCCGCACTTTATTCGGATTCACCTCGATACCTCTCTTGGTCACCAAGTAGCCCAAGAATTTCCCTGATTTTACCCCAAACGAGCACTTGGCTAGATTCAACTTCATCCCATACCTCCTCAAAGTCAAGAATGTTTCCTTCAAGTCCCGCCCATGATCCATCTCCTCCATACTCTTCACCCACATATCATCCACATAGACCTCAACATTCCTCCCCAATTGCTCCTTGAAAATTTTGTCCACCAACCTTTGATACGTGACACCCGCATTCTTCAGGACAAACGACATCACCACGTAACATTAAGTTCCTCAGCTCGTCATGAAGCTCACCCTCTTCCTGTCCTCTCTCGCCAAGGGAATTTGATGATATCCCTGCGAGGCATCCATCAGGCTCAACAACTCACACCCCGCAGTTGAATCGACCAGCTGGTCGATCCTAGGCAGCGGGTACAGATCCTTCGGGCATGCACTGTTCAGGTCCCGGAAATCTATGCACATTCTCCATTTCCCTTCGACTTTGGACACCATTACCGTATTTGATAGACATTCCGGGAATTGAATCTCCTTGATATGCCCAGCTCCCAACAACTTCTCGACCTCCTGCTCAATAATTTTATCCATCTCCGCCCCATGGTGCCTTCTCTTTTGTTTCACCGGCCTCACATTGAGGTCGATGTTTAAGCAGTGCTCGATCAACTCTGCACTTATCCCCGTCAACACCGAAATATGCGAAATGTTTTCGCATATAAGTAAATTATGCGATTGACTTGGGTATGCAATTATCATGTGTAGTCAACAAATTATGAAAATTATAGGCGAAAGATTTTCGCATAGTCATAAATTTGCAAGGTCGATATAGCCCTGCGAAAAGAAAGCGCATAATCATCGTAAATTATGCTACATTCGATTTGGATATGTGATTATTAAAAATGCGAAAGATGTTCGCATATTTGTAAATTATGCGTTTGATGTGGATATGCGATTACAAAAATGCAAAATGTTTTCGCATAGTCATAAACTATGCGGCCGGTTGGATATCTGCTGGTTCATTTGGACATGCGAGTGTAATATCGCATAGCATTTCGTGAAATTTGGGGTGTAAAAGAAATTATTTGACGGGGCAGTGTGTAAAAGAAAGAATAGATTTATATCGAGGTGATAAAGAGTTTGACTCTTTTAATTAATTAAGGATCCCTAATTCTAATCTCGTAAGGGTCCCTACTGTAGCTCTATATATACATCATCAAGCTTATGAGAAGAGAACACATGATCATAAATCACGCCCCCCATACGCACGCCCCATATCTCTCTCTCTCTCAGTTCCCATTAGAGCTTTATCTTCTTCTTGTTGTTCCATCGGTACAAGTTGAAGAGGGTGCTTGAGAAATATAGCAGAAGATCAATAGGTGTTCGAGACTCGATTATCTTCTACAACAATCGACGATCCACGAGCTAAGTCCGAGGACCGTCGACCGCCGCATAACCAGCCGGAAGAAAGCCTTGACCAGCCAGAGCCAGCCGGAGCCAAACGTGAGACACGCGCCTCCGCGTCCCGGCGATCTAACTCGACCCACGAGATTGATTCAATTCGATTGCGAGACTGACGTTCCGTTCGTGATTGAATCCAGTTCGTGTGATTGTACAGCCATCAAAAAGATTAGCCAGATCGCCATAAATCTTAAGCCGTAAGTTTTCTACGCAAACCTTTAGGTCCGTTGCGCATAGGTTTACGTTTGCTATTGAATTCGTGATTTGTACATAACGAGATCCTCATAGATCTTAACAGCTGGAGACTCTGTCCTCGTGAAGCCCGCGCAAAGCTGGCGTTGCGCGAGGAATGTTGGTCTTCGCGGTGCAACATCTCCATAAGTTGTAGACTCTGTCCTCGCGACACCCGCGTGAATCCCGACATGGCGTGAGGTCCTCTAGTCTTTGCGGCGAGACAGCTAACGACGCGACACTCTTAAAACTAATAGGTTGTTGCCCAAGCTCGACACCAATCACGCTGCGTGTTGGGTTCTATGAGGAACGTCATCTATGTGCACATTTGAATCTATTAAAAATAAATCCTATCACGGCGGAATCTATAGTTAGGATTAAGACTTATGATGTAAAAATTTTGCCGAGGACATTTCTGATTTTGCTATTTGAGATTGTAAGAACCTCTGAGTCCGTTAGGCAACCGAACTTGGCCTCTTCATTACATGTTCGGTTGCTCTTCGAGCTCGTCAGATCTACTCGAACCTTCAGTAGGTTGGCAGGACCCTAGGGAATCACTTTGGGCATGAACCGGGACTACTGAACTGAGCTTAACCTGGTTAAACCGGTCTGAACCAGATCTTGTCGCGTCTAGGTAGGAGTAGACTGGATTGGGCCTGGTCGCTGGTGCCGAGGAATGACTTGTTGGTTGTAGACTGGGCCTTTAACCTTGAGCCTTCAAAGTCTGCTCATCACCATCTGATCTTTGTTAGAAGCCTCAGTGCTTTGGACCCTATCCATTTGAAGGATTTTCTGTTGGGTAAGGAAGGAGTAAGCATTGAAAACTGAAAATTTTCCCTTTTTATCTTGTCTCCAAATCCATTTGTCCTCACCATTAGGAATAAGTGAAGTGATTTTTAGAAAAGAAGCGCAATCTTCATCTGAAAAATTCTTCCTTAGAGTCTGAACATGGCAAGTTCTGCCATTAGATGAGACGAGATCATTAACCCAAGTCAAATTCTAGCAAACATTAGGCTCAAACTTCACAGCATTCTACAATTCAAATCAGGTCCCAGAAATCAACAATGATTCTTGTCCCATTCCCATTCTTAATATTAGACATCATCCACTTTCCACAGCCTTCTCTAACCTTCAACCAACTATTCCAGAGCTAGGAAGCATTACTCTTCCTATGAAGATAAAAAAGAGAAGAATATGAAAAGTATCAGGATTTGAGAATTCTACTTACCATAAGATCAGGCTGAGTTAAGAGTCTCCAAATCTGTTAGGCAATAAGTGCTTCACTGAAAATATGAACAACCTAAAATCCTATGCACCCGTGAGACTTTGGAAGAGTAAGTTGGGCCCAAGCTTTCCAGTGAATCTTTCTTTGGAAATCCTCACCTTTGCTCCACCAAAAACTTGCACAAACATTAGCAATTTATTTGCAGAGACTCAAAAGAAGACAAAAACCAGACATAGTAAAGACATGTAGAGCACTGACTGCGGCCTTGATTAAGACGTCTTTAGTTGTAAATGATAACCGCTTGTTCTTCGAGCTAAGGATTTTACATTTCACCACAAAAAGGACATAGTTAAAAGCTTCTCTTTTAGACCTTCCAATTCCCAAAGGCAATCCCAAATATGTAGAAGAAAAATAAATATTACTGCCAATTAAGACCAGACAACACCTTTCCTACAATCCAAAGAAGTATTCTTACTGAAGAAGATTGAAGACTTCTATATAGACCTATTACCCAGTAAAGAGATAATAGTCATTTAGGATAAGGAGGAGTTTTTGAGCTTGGAAGGTCTCCGCTTTACAAAAAACCAACAGACTATCAATAAATAAAAGATGAGAAATCTCAGGACCACCCCAAGCTAGCTTCACTCCTTTGAAAACACCACTATTTCGCTCAGAAAATAGCCTTGCAGATAGAAATTTAGACACTAAGATAAAAAGATATGGGGATAGGGAATTCCCCTGTCTAACACCTCTTGAGGTTGAAGCATAACCACAAGATTGACCTTTAAGATTAAAAGAGTTTGAGGAAGAAGTGATGCATGCCATAATCAACATGACAAAAGTAGCATGTAATCCCATTTTCGACATAGTTAACTGAATACATTTCCATTCAAGTCTATCCAAAGCTTTAACCATGTCCAGTTTTAAAGCTATAAAGCAATTTTTCTCATTTATGTGTCTATTAAAGAAGTGAAAGACTTCATGTGCTATAACCACATTGTCTAGAAGTTGTCTTACAGGGAGAAAAGCTGCTTGAGTTTCAGAAATATTGGTAGGCGAATAGTTTCTCAATCTCATGGAAAAGAATTTTAGAAATGATCTTATAAAAGACTTCACATTTTCTTCAGTTGATTCTCGTCGGAGTTTTAAAAACTCCACCATGACCGGCAAGACTCTGACGAGATGGAGGGACATGTTATATCACAGAAGGCGGCGGGAAGCTTCTGTCGATGGGCGGCGGGGTGGCAGACGACTGCCGGAGGCAAAGTGTGTGTGTGTGGTGGGCGGCAGACAGTAGTAGGCGACAACGGACTGGTGGCTGTCGGAATATGGAGTTGGCGGTCGACAATGGGTGGTGGCAGGCGGCACCGGACGGCGGCTGACGGCAGTGAGATATCGCCGTTGAGATTCTGCAGCCCGACATGTTTGAAGGAATTGCATATGTGTGCGCCTATATGTGGGAGAAAGGTGAGAGATACCTTTTTTTTATTTGTTTGGTAGTGGTGGGGCCCACTGGGATATAAATGAGTGAGTAATTACAATTATACCCTTATTTAGTGGATAAATGTATGTATTTAACCATTAAATATACACTTATTTGCGAAACTGCCATCACAAGTTTGACTGCCATATTTATAAGTTGACTAGATCATAAACATTGATATATAAATTCAAATGATAAAGATTTATTCTCAATTCTTTCACTATATCAATATATATAAATATTTGTGCATATAAACAAAATGGAGTACAAGTGGTATGCTTAAAGTTGTTCTAATTAAGAACATCAAATGGGCGACCATAAATGATGTTTGAAAAACTTTAAATGTGTTCATGTTACAAAAATGCATTGAATCTACTTTAAATATAACCTCATGCAATAAACTTAGAAACCGTAGAATTCATTTGATGAAAAATAGGCCAGGAAAAAAGTAAAGCATGTCCACCTCCCATCCCTACCAAGATCACCCAAGCTCGAATCCAATAACTGATGAGCACCGTTGGATCCTCCACATCCGTCGTTCATTAGACGAAGATATTATTGACAACGAACCCGACAGTCCAGTTTCAATTTTTAACGTGCCCAAAGCCCTTCTCCTTACCAGCCCTGAATCTTACATACCGCAGCAAATAGCACTAGGCCCGTATCACCATTCCCGGCCCGAACTTCACGATATGCAACGTTACAAGCTTTCTGCGGCCAAGAGATTCCAAAGACGCGTCCATGGTCTCAGATTCCACAATATCGTCGACCATTTAATCCCATACGAACCAAAATTACGCGCATTTTATCAGAAGTATTTAAACTTCAATGGCGAAACGCTAACGTGGATGATGGCCATCGACTCGTGCTTCTTATTGGAGTTTCTTGAGGCTTTTGCGATCGAGGAGAGAAAAATGCCGTCGAGAACATTGTGGTTGAGAGATATTACGGGACGTAAATCGGGCCACGACGCAATCGTCAGGGACATTCTCATGCTCGAAAACCAAGTCCCACTGTTTTTATTAAAGAAAATGATGGAGTTTCAATCCACAACTTCAGATGCCGCCCTTTATTCAATCCTGGCGGACTTTTTCAACGCAATTTCCCCTTTCGAGAGGGTCATGCCTGATCTCGAGAGATGCAACCATTTGCTCGACCTTTTGTACCACTCGATCGTCCCGAGATTTGAGGGAGCTCTTGAAATCGAGGATGATGATGACGAGCATGTGAATGGAGAAGGTGAGAAAAGAAGCATCATCAAGAGGCTAGTGTTTTCGAGCCCGGTTAGATTAATTCTCGCATTTCCCTTGAAAGTTTTATCCAATCTCCCGGGAGTGATTGTGATGAGACATGTATTGGAACATGTATACGAGAAGGAGGAAAATGATAACGGAGAGAAAGATTATTATTATAATAATAGGAAGAAGAAAGACGCGGATCCGCTAATGGAGGAAATCTGCATCCCGTCTGTGAGTGAGTTGGCAAGTGCGGGAATAAAGTTTGAGGCAAGCAAGACGGGCATTTCAGGGATTGGGTTCGACTCGGGGACAGGGACTCTGAGGCTGGCAAGCGTACGGTTGGATGTGAATGCGGGAGCCGTGCTGCGTAATTTGGTGGCTTACGAGGCGTGCGGTGTGTGGGGGGGTCCACTTGTGCTTGCACGCTACGTGGAGCTCATGAACGGGATTGTGGACGGGCCGGAAGACGCGCGTTTGCTGCGGGAGAGTGGGATCGTCTTCAGCCATCTCAGGTGCGATGGGGACGTGG